GTGTGTGTTAGTGTATGCAGTGTATGTGTGTGTTATTGTATGCAGTGTGTGTGTTGTGTTAGTGTATGCAGTGTATGTGTGTGTTAGTGTATGCATTGTATGTGTGTGTTATTGTATGCAGTGTGTGTGTTGTGTTAGTGTATGCAGTGTATGTGTGTGTTAGTGTATGCAGTGTATGTGTGTGTTATTGTATGCAGTGTGTGTTGTGTTAGTGTATGCAGTGTATGAGTGTGTTAGTGTATGCAGTGTATGTGTGTGTTATTGTATGCAGTGTGTGTGTTGTGTTAGTGTGTTGTATGCAGTGTGTGTGTTGTGTTAGTGTATGCAGTGTATGTGTGTGTTATTGTATGCAGTGTGTGTGTTGTGTTAGTGTATGCAGTGTATGTGTGTTAGTGTATGCAGTGTGTGTGTTGTGTTAGTGTATGCAGTGTATGTGTGTGTTAGTGTATGCAGTGTGTGTGTGTTGTGTTAGTGTATGCAGTGTGTGTGTTGTGTTAGTGTATGCAGTGTATGTGTGTGTTGTTAGTGTATGCAGTGTATGTGTGTGTTAGTGTATGCAGTGTATGTGTGTGTGTTAGTGTATGCAGTGTATGTGTGTGTTAGTGTATGCAGTGTGTGTGTGTGTTATTGTATGCAGTGTGTGTGTGTTTTATTGTATGCAGTGTGTGTGTTAGTGAATGCAGTGTATGTGTGTGTTATTGTATGCAGTGTGTGTGTTGTGTTAGTGTATGCAGTATGTGTGTGTTAGTGAATGCAGTGTGTGTGTGTGTTATTGTATGCAGTGTGTGTGTTGTGTTAGTGTATGCAGTGTATGTGTGTGTTAGTGTATGCAGTGTGTGTGTTGTGTTAGTGTATGCAGTGTATGTGTGTGTTAGTGTATGCAGTGTGTGTGTTGTGTTGGTGAATGCAGTGTGTGTGTGTTAGTGTATGCAGTGTATGTGTGTGTTATTGTATGCAGTGTATGTGTGTGTTATTGTATGCAGTGTGTGTGTTGTGTTAGTGTATGCAGTGTATGTGTGTGTTAGTGTATGCAGTGTATGTGTGTGTTAGTGTATGCAGTGTGTGTGTTGTGTTAGTGTATGCAGTGTATGTGTGTGTTAGTGTATGCAGTGTATGTGTGTGTTAGTGTATGCAGTGTGTGTTGTTAGTGTGTGATCTGGGGGGGGGGAGGAAGGGGCATTTTAACATTAATTTTTTTATTAATTTAATTAAATGTTTCTCCCCCCTCCCTGCTTACCTGTGTCCATAGAGGGGGGAGATTCCATCCCTGGTGGTCCGGTGGGGGGCCCCCCGGCTCCCTGTTACCGCAGAGGGGGCCCAGGCAGCACACAGCTTCTCCTCTCTTCTCTCTTCTCATAACTCTCGCGAGACCCGGTTACCATGGCAACGCTCCGCGGGTCTCGCGAGAGTTATTAGAAGAGAGAAGAGAGGAGGAGAAGCTGTGTGCTGCCTGGCTGGGCCCCCTCTGCGGTAACAGGGAGCCGGGGGCCCGCGGCTGCACACATAGATAGCGATATGCGCTATCTATGTGTGCAGAAAGGGAAAGTGGGGCCCAGGACTGCCAGAGCAGTCCGGGCCCCCCAGGGCCGCCGGGCCCGTGACAACAGTCACGGTTGTCACCCCCTGATGGCGGCCCTGCCGCCCCATGTTCTCCTCACCACCACCCTCCCTTAGTCGACTCACTCTCCACCCCACCATGTTCTCCTCACCACCCCTCCCTGTGTTCTCCTCACCACCCCCCCGTGTTCTCCTCACCCCCTCCCTGTGTTCTCCTCACCCCAGTGTTCTTCTCACCCCCCTGTGTTCACACCTCCCTGTGTTCTTTTCATCCCCCTCCCAGTGTTCTTCCCACCCATCCCGTGTTCTTCTCACCTCCCTGTGTTCTTCTCACTCCCCGTGTTCTTCTCTCCCCCCCCCGTGTTCTTCTCACTCACCCCCCGTATTCTTCTCACCCCGTGTTCTCCCCGTGTTCTTCTTATTCCCCCTCCCTGTGTTATTCTTATCTCCCCCCGTTTATAATTCAGGTAATTTCAATGCTAAAATCTGGACAACCAATTTATATCAATGTCATGCAGTGCAGCTTTCAAATAAACATGACATATTAACTGGATTTCAGCCGGTCCAGATACTACTAAATAGCTAAAATTTGGAGCTGAATAATGGAAATATGCAAGTGAACACTTGAAATACAAAACCTAATAATGGAAATCCACTAGTTCTGAATTTGCATTTGGTCAGTTAAATCAACACACACTCGCAAATGTGTCCTTTTTGAAATACACACCAGCTATATCTCTCATAAACACTAGAAACTATGGTCACTGTAACAGCATGGAGTTATTTTCTATGTCTGTATCAACCAGAAAAAAAAGTGAATCATTTTCATTATGGACTAGATTACCACCTTATTATCTCTTCTGCTTACATGTATTAACAATCAACCTACGGATACTCACCTACTAGTAAAATTATCTTTTTTTACTATTCCATTAGATAAAAAATATAAGTGGAGCGCATAAGTAGGTAGTGGTCATAGACCCATGGTGCTAGTAAAGTACAAATATAAATATAAATACTTAATATTGCTCAGAAGGGGTTCCATGTAGAATCATGTACATAAAAGAAAAAAAGAAAAAGGTAGATAATAGTATAGACTGTAAAGCAAAACTGCAAATATTTAAAAAGTGTAATAATAATTTGTTGCAGAAAAATAAACAAATAAAAGCATTGATAATACAGCTGCTTACAAGATGAGAGAAAGTGAGCTCATGTGGTTTCAAATACCACTAGTCATGCAAGCTGGTATGCCAAATGCAGGGAGATGTCTTTCACACTGCCAACCCGGTCCGAGCGTGGGTGAGGGATTCCGGTGACTTGGTGTTAGTCTATCAGCCCTCTCTGCTCCTCAATCGGCAAACAGATATAGTAAGTAACAAAGCTCCCAGTGGAAAATTAGCTGGATTCAAGCTCCGCCCACAACATGACGTCAGTGCGAACATCTCCCTGCATTTGGCTATTTGCCAGACATGTGCAATTCGTTTCGTTCCGAAGGCAAATTCAGACGAATTTCGGAATGCCGAACCGAACTGCCGAAGTGCCAAATTTCGGAATGCCGAACTAAATTGCCGAATTTCCGAAGTGCTTCGGATTTCTGAAAAGTGACAAAACAGGAGAGGGTTGGGGTTAGGGTAGGGTTAGTGGTTGGGGTAGAGGTAGGGTTACAGTTAGGTTTAGAGGTAGGGTTAAGGGTTGGGGTAGGGTTAGTGGTTGGGGTAGGGTTAGGTGTTGGAGTAGGGTTAGGGTAGGGTAACCCTACCCCTATTCCTAAACTAACCCTACCCCTAACCCTAAACCAACCTTAACCCTACCCCTACCCTAACCTACACTTACCCGAAGTCCTGAAGTTCCGAAGTTCTGAAGTTCCAAAGTTTCAAAGTTCAGAAGTGTCGAAGTCCTAAAGTTTTGAAGTGCTGAAGTCCCGAATTTCAGAATGTTCCGAATATTTTTCCCATGCACATCCCTACTATTTGCCTTACTGGCTTGCGTAAGTAGCGGTATTTGAAACCGCATAAGCTCACTTTCTCTCATCTTGTAAGCAGCTGTATTATCAATGCTTTTATTTGTTTATTTTTCTGCAATAAATTGTTATTACACTTTTTAAATATTTGCAGTTTTGCTATACCGACTATACTATTATCTACCTTTTTCTTTTTTTCTTTTATGTACATGATTCTACATGGAACCCCTTCTGAGCAATATTAAGTATTCATATTTATATTTTTACCTTACTAGCACCATGGGTCTATGACCACTACTTCTTATGAGCTCCACTTATATTCTTTATCTATAGCGATCTTCTATCTGTGCTGATCACCTTTGGGGGCTCCAGCACTTGAGCGTGTAGCTGCATTTTAAAATATATTTTTACTATAGTGTACTTTATAAGTATATTATTACACCTGCATGTTCACTTCTTAAGGAGATAGTTGTTTTTCCCATTTTTTCTCTCCTTTTGAATGCTTTTTTAGCGCTTTTAAAAAAAAATTTTTGTACTATTCCATTGTATATGTTGCAGCAACTTAGAAGTATAGGTCATATAGTTTTAACTCCTTGTAAATTCACCAAGTGATGGGAACCCAGACTAGTTTTTATAGGGCTACTCCAAGCTCCATGACTATATCAGTGAATATAGCATGCTGGTGACCGATGACCAATGGCGCCACACCCCCTTTCTCCAAACCACCCTACGTACTCTATCAGCCCTGCTTCCAGTATATCCTCTCCTGCAGGGAAGTATAGTGAGTGAATTGTAAGGTAGATAGGGCTGAAGGGAGAACTTGGCCAAAGCTCACTGACAGCCTCCTGGATCAGCCCCCTAAATAGAGGACAATGGAGAGAGAATTTTAACACTTTCTGAATGGTCTTAGTGCTCACTGTCCAGAACAAGCACATCTAATGATGTGATTACGCTGTGCTGCCCGAGGACTTTTTCCTGGTTTCCCTGGATGTGGGATACCAGGGAACAAAATCAGGATTGCGGGACTGGACCTGAAATCATTTGGGACGCAGTCTAATATGTTTTAGTAATACAAAGGGTGGAATAGGTGTGTTGGTGCATCTATAGTTAAATGAACATGTAAAAACAATAGGTGTAACAAAAAGGTGTAATCCCCTATCACCTATACAAACAAACAAATAAAAAGTTACACCCACTGTGAGCACACTATTAATATCTATGCACAGGACTGTATGTAGAGGGAGGTCTCTTCTAAAAAAAGCTAAACACAAACACACATAGTGCTTTCTATATATAGGTATAACAATAAAATGCTTATAGGGAATGTCACTCACAAACACAGAGCCGTATCAGGCCCTGTTTATTAGCCTCCATAGATGCCTATACAGGCTAGGATATCCTTCCAGGCAGGAATAGGAACACATGATTCCAGGATGTAAAAAATATTTGCACATATTATTATATAAAATACATAAAAAAAATATAGGATCTTAAAGACTAATATATTGTATGCAGTGCAAGCAAATGTCTAAGAATTCATCAGTCACCGCAAAAAATCATTATACAAACAGTCCCAACGTGTAGCAAACACGTTTCAATCTCCAAAGCGGTCTTCTTCAGTGATTCCCTGTAAGCACTTTATTGTTATACCTATATATGGAAAGCACTATGTGTGTTTGTGTTTATCGATTTTAGATGAGACCTTCCTCTGCATACAATCCTGTGCTTAAGTATTAATTGTGTGCTCAAATTGGGTGTAACTTTTTATTTATACGTTTTAGTAATGTTACCTCGCCTTGTAGGCATTCACATCCTAATTTATTATTGACATTTATGCAATGCTAACTTAATTTGCTGCACTTCACAAATTCAATTGGTGATGCAGCATTAAACAAACTATTACAAGAGTTAACAAGAAACCAGATGTCATTGAGGACCCTGCTCAAACAAATTTACAACACCAATCACTCTAAAAAGATCAGTAATACACATCTCTATCTCTTCTCCATTTTTCATACTGAGAGCTCCCCTCAAATTTACCATTACACCCATCAAGCACTGTGCATCAAACATTTCTTACAACAGCTATATACAGTAAGACAATAATGTAGAGCACTTGGCTGGTGTTTCAAACCTAAATTCTTTATTTCATCTGGAAATAGCTGTAATAAGGGACCAAAATACTTACAACTACCAGTGTACTCAACTTAACGTTAGCAGTAGACATATTCGGAAACCTTGGCAAGGTTAGCCAGCAAAAGAAGTTGGAGAATGGGTTCAGGACACTATCTTCATATTGCTGGTTATAATTCTAAAAGGAAATTGTTTATTTCACCAGACATTTGAACATTTCTAACCCATCACACATCAGTACTCTGAAAGTTACAATATTATACTGACTCATCGGTTTCCTAATGCCATATTTTTTGACTATTTAATGCAAATGTCTTTAAAATGTCCCCAAGGCAAAGCTGGATTTCTAAGGAATTCTAAAGCGACCCCCTATCAAAAAAAGAAAAAAGCAGATAAAGTGAGTTTATTAAATATATTAACTGGACATTACAGACATAAACACATAGACTGATACACAGACTGAATCCTAAAACGTAGTTTAAATTAGCACTGTCACAATCTGAGGACTTTGAATAATTTGCAAAGACCCCCAACAGTGACATCACCACTGGTGGTCGAGTGGTTGGAGGGCTGGGAAACCTGCCCCTCGCAGTGGCTGCCATCTTTTTCTGTCAGGTCCTCTTCTGGGCATATAGTACCTGGGGTTACCACAATCATAACACACAGGTACCTCCAGCGAGTCAGACAAGTGCTCAAGTGCTAGATCAATGGCAAGAAATAGATACAAGTCATCAATACATATGCCATTTCCACCAGGTATCAGGCGGAAAAATAACCTGGCCAAGAGATGAGATTGTCACCATGGTTTTTAAAATCCGGAAACTACTCACTGTGAATGGACGATTCAAGCCACAATCCAGCACATAGAGACTTTACACCAGCCGAAAGGAAGGAGGTCAGGGCTTAATGAGTGTCAAGGCCACAGTCTGGGATGAAACACAGAGTATCCACAAGTACATCATGAAGATGGCTCCCAAAGATGAACTGCTAATGAAATGCTTGAGAAAACAGATAGAGGATACAAAAAGGGAGGAGGTTCCATGGCAAAACAAACCTTTCTATGGGGTGTACCACCAGCAGTAGTGGATGTGGCTCACATTACAAAATCCTACCAGTAGTTGGAAAATGCAGGACTGAAATGCAGCACTGAGACACTAATCCTAGCATTGAAGAATTGGCACACAGAACCAGATCAATAGTAGCAATAGTCTACCATACAAGACAAGACCCAAGGTGAAGACTGTGCAAAGAGGTCTCAGAGACAATGCAACACATAGCCGGGTGCAAGATGATCACAGGGACAGCATACACTGAGAGACACAACCAAGAAGCTGGGATTGTTTACCTTAATATTTGGGCAGAATATGAGCTGGAACTGCCTAATTTCAGGTGGGAGGTACCAGAAAGGGTAGTTGACAGGGCTAAGATCTTGTGGGACTTTCAGATCCAGACAAACAGGCAAGTAGTGGCCAACCAGCCTGACCTGGTGGTAGACAAGGAACAGAAGACTGCAGTGGTGGTGGATTGCCACTACCCAGTAACCATAACATCAAGAGGAAGGAACACGAGAATAGTGAACAAATACCAAAGGCTGAAAGAGGCGCTAAAAAGGTTGTGACCCCAAAGTTGGGAAAGTGGCTTCAGCAGATTCCAGGTGGGACACCCGAGATTACTGTCCAGAAGAGTGCAGTTCTAGGAACAGCTAAGAGGCTGCGCAGAACGCTCAGACTCCCAGGCATCAGACAGAGGACCTGAAAATGAGGAATACATAAAATTACCACCCAGAGGGATGAAAAAGAAAATTTTTCATTTTATCTATATATGTATGTATATGTGTATTTTTGCATTGATATACTGTATAATAAAGCATGTGAATTAATGTCAAAATATTTGGAGAGACAGAGAAGAAATAGAAGGAATTGGATTTTTAGTTATAAACTTTTCTCCTCAGGACAATATTTTATAACGAAAACTAAAATAAAGGGAAAAAATACTTTAAAAAAATAAACAATTTACAGGGGAAAAAGAGTTCCAGGAGTCCACTTCTCCTCAACTTGGCCAGGCCTCTTTAGAGCACTAAGCTGTCATGCTCCTGATGCTGGAGAGGTGCCTATCATTATGTAGGTGCCTATCATCATGTAGGGCTTTTGGATGCCAGGCTCAAGGCAGGTAGTGTCTGAGGTGATATATTAATCATGTTAATGCAGGCACTGATGGTTAAAGTGGTGCCTGCCTTAATAGATATAAAATACTTGCATGAACTTAGCAAGCACCTTATGAGCTCAAGTGCCTGCCACCAAGTGGGATTTCACTTTTGTGGCAGGCTCGGGGCAAGCAGGGTGTGTGTGTGTAGGAGGAAGGAGTGGGGGGTCATTTTAATCATATTAAGGCAGACATTGATGACTGAAGTGGTGCCTGTCTTAATAGGTCTACAAAAATTTGTAGGCCAGAAGGAGCTGGGAAATGGTGAGAGCTAAGTGTACAGTAGCAAGCACCTGATGTTAAAGCAGTGCCTGACACCATGGTTGGGGGCGAGAAAGGCGCTGACTCAGCTGGTTGTAGTTCTTAGAGGGGAAGGAGCAGAACACAATAAGATGGGAGGCAGTAGGAAAGAAGGTGGCAGAGAGCCAATATGGAGGTAGCATAAGAGGAAGTGGAGTTCTGCCATCTCCAGTCATTGGTTGTAACAGCATTTGACAGCCCTGAAGTCAGGCCTGTCTTTTAGGGAGGTATGTTTGCTGCCCGAGAAGGATGAAGTAGAAACAGTGGCGTGTCAGGCAGCTAATGACGGTAAAACACACAACTTCCCATAGTATTTAATTGTATACTTTATATTTCTGTATTTTGTATACATCCTAAAGGTATGCAGAGTCTTCCTCTCCCATCTCCTCTTTCATTCATTTATTTCTTGTTCTTTTATTTTTATAACTGTTCTCCTTGAAAATTGGTGACTCAATGTCTTGAAAGGACTATGTACTCAAATGTCTTTGTGTACAATGTCACCTCACTAAATAAAGTAATTTTTAAAAAAAGTATGAATCCATTGATCAATTTAAGAATTCTCATATTTTTCCATATTTGAAAAAAACAACAAAAAACCCTATGGATCATACCAAAGACTCATCCATTCTATTAAGCTACAGTGTAGCAGGGTTTAGGGAGGCCTTTTAAAGTGTAGCCACTAGATGGCAGGAAGATTCCATTAGCAATATGTCAAGTTTGATTTTTATTAGAGGCCAACTAAACAACCCCCCCCCACCCCCACCCCCCATGGTTAGGCAATAAGGTATTTTGTTTTGTATTTAAGGCATCAAGTGTAAAATATAAAGTGTATAAAAAAACAACAACAACAAAAACACAATAGTATTAAAAAAAAATACCATTTGTTTGACACAATGTCCCCAAAAAGAATCTCTATACCTCCAGAGTCAACCAGACCAAAAATAGCACTCATTTGCAGTTTTAGACAGTGATATTATTATTTTATTATTTATATAGCGACAGCAAATTCCGTAGCACTATACAATGGGTGGACTAACAGACACGCAATTGTAACCAGATAAATGGACGCACAGGAACAGAGGGGTTGAGGGCCCTGCTCAATGAGCTTACATGCTAGAGGATGTTTGGTATAGGGACACAAAGGATATAAGTAAGGGTAATGAAATAGGTTGCTAGAAAAGTATTCACTGAGAACTTAGTAGGTTATTTTTGACAGTTGCAGGAGAGGAGTCATGGGCGGAGACCTGTATTTATTTCGTTTTGGGAGTCCCGAAAGTGACCGCTGATACTTTTCTTATGGAACTATTTTGGGCAAGCACCACGTGTGCGGTTGGTCAAAACTTTACTTGGTGGTGATTCGGCTGTATTCATGAGATCCGAGTGCTATTTGGATATGTTGGGCGCTCAGATCCAGGTTATCTGGGGATATAGGACTTGTGGGGGTCCCTTGAAATATTGTGTGTGTTTTGGAGTGTTTTATATTTTTTACATTGTACCTCTTTGTCCCTTGGAGTTAATTAGTTTAAGCCAAGTACACTCAATTATCTCCCAGACGCAGAGACGCCGGGAGGAGTTTGTATTGAACTGTATTGGAGACCCCCTGCTGGGACTCTGTGTATAAATTGTGTGTACCATGTCCCATTAAACCAGTTCACTCCCAGCATTGTCTTGGCTAATGTCTGTGGGAGAAAGCAGTAATCACTCCAGAGTTTTAATTACTTGGCAGCTATAATCACTTCACAGCTATATCACTGAATCCAGCACAGTATAGTTCCTTAGAAGGGGAATAGAACCCTATCTGGGAGGCAGCCACATCTGGTGGCAGCAATGGGATGGTTGTTTTCCCCAAGAGTGGATGCTGAACCCAGAACGAACAGTGGATTCGCAGATGGAGAGCGGCTACGATCAGCTAAAGTGATCCACATTGAAGGACTTGCTGGAGAGCCGGGGATGAAATGTGAGCAACCGTCTGAAACAAGCTTTAATCGTCAAACCCATGGAGCTGGACCGAACCAAATACGCTTTGCCTTGTTCGGGCCAAACCCTCCTGCCGAAATAATAATGCAAGTGCTGGCAAATGCTGATGCAGAAGCAAAAAAAACAAGCGAGAATGTCAACTACGCTCAGCAGAAATCCAGCTTCGGGTGACTGAAAGCCCCACTCCACAACCAGAACGGAGGAAGATACATTTCACAGCCTTTAAAGCTTTCCAAGAGGCAGAGGATGAGATTGATGGCTACCTCACAGATTTTGAAAGACAGTGCGCTCTACACAAAGTCACGGAGTATGACTAGGTACCGATCCTAGCTGTGAAATTGTCAGGAAGAGCTGCTGAGGCATTTTGGGCCATACCAGATAGGGATTCATCAAGATGCCAGAGTATGCAGTCACCCCTGAAGCAAACCACTGGTGGTTCAAGGAATTGAGGAAGCAGGATAAAGACTCCTATGCTGAATAGGCTTGCCACCTCCACAGATCTGCCTCACACTGGATGGCAGGGTGCCAAGTTGTGTCGGGAGAGGATATCCTACAATTATTTCTAATGGAACATTTTTTCAACCTGCTTAATCCAGATCTATGAGAGTGGATCCGTGATAGGCAGATTAACATACTGATACCAGAAAAGACTGAACGGCCACTGGTAACATCTACCCCCCATACCGAAGTTGCTGCTCCAGGAACATCCAAACAACCCCGACCTTCTTATCGGGGACCAACCGGGAACCAACCAGCCCCCACAAAGACCAGGCTCCAATGCTTCCGATGCCAACAAATAGGACATGTAAGGAGCAACTGTCCTCTGGAATCCTCAAGACTCTTGTGGGGTCGTACCAACCCTATACCACCCAGGGCCAAAGCTCACTGTCTAGAAGCTGAGACTACACTTCCTTGGAAGGAGTTACAGTCTATACCAGAGGAGTCATGGAGAGTGTTACATGAAGCTGATCCTGTGCAGGCCGCAAGCTTGGATAACCACCAACAACACAGACAGCTGGTCCTTGTAAACAGACAAACAGCTAGGGGACTGAGAGACACCGGAGCTACCCTGACATTGGTGCAATGCCACTTGATTCGAGACAACCAACATACCAGACAATCTGTGGCTGTTAGGGTAGCCGGGGGAGCCATATACCGATTACCAACTGTCCGAGTTCACATGGTTTGGGGAGCTGGATCAGGCACCGTGAACGTTGGGATTATGAAAGACTTGCCTATGGAAGTACTACTCGGGAATGATTTAGGGCCCATTACTTTAGCATACGTTACCAGGAACCATGCTGAAGCTCATCCAGTGACTACTCGTCTGCAAGCCCGGGCTGCAGAGGCTTGCTCACATTCTGAGGAAATCCAGGTGAGAGAAGACTCCCCGACCCTGACCGTATACCTGGCCCAGTTAGCTTGGGACACCTCAGAGGAGTTTGGGAGGGAGGCAAGGAAAGACCGCACACTCTAAAATTATACGGCCAGCCAGACACTGATCAAGGGGGTTTCAAGAGGGAAATGTTTGTTTGGGAGCAGAACAGGTTATATAGGATAACCGAGACCCATACTAGAGGGGCAGCCCCATCCCAGAAGCACCAGCTTGTAGTTCCAAGGAAGTACAGGCTGGAACTCCTACGGATTGGATATGCGGTACCTCTAGCAGGACATCTGGGCATATGCCGGACCTCTTTTGGCCAGGAATCTCTTCTTTTGGCCCAGAACTTCATTTGGCTAGAAAACCTGTGATGTTTGTCAACCAGTAGGAAAGAACGGAGATCACCCCAAAGCTCGGCTGCAATCCATGCTGATCATTGAAGAACCGTTCAGCCGGATAGCAATCGATATAATAGGACCCCTGGAGAGACCTAGTCCCTCCGGTAAAAAGTATATACTTACCGTAGTGGACTACGCTACTCGCTATCCCAAAGCAGTCTCCTTGACTAACATCGAGGCTGTGGAAGGTATGTGGAATAAAACCCATTCTGAGTTCCCCCTACATCCCCAGACCAACGGTCTCAGCGAGCGGTTTAATGGTACCCTCAAGCAGATGTTGCAAATATTCACTGCCACTTGCAGAGACTGGGAGAGATTCCTGCCGCATCTCTTGTGTGCTTATCAAGAGGTACCACAGGAATCTACTGGGTTTTCCCCTTTCAAACTACTCTATGGGAGAAGGGTACAAGGTCCCCTCAATCTCATTAAAAAGCACTGGGAAGGGGAAACTGAACAAGAAGGAATCCCCATAGTGCCATATGTAGTAGAACTCTGAGACTGCATGGAACACTTGGCTAAGATGGTAAAAGAAAACCTCCAGGAAGCTCAGGGGTGAACGAAAGTATGGTACAATCGGGGTACCCGACAGCATAGTTTTCGTGTGGGACAAAAAGTGCTAGTACTAAAGCCAGTCCGACATGATAAATTACAGGCAGCATGGCATAGCTCTTACAAAGAGGTGGCAACACTGCGATACCACCTATGCAGTAGCCAGCTGTGCAAGAAAATACAGCGCTCCTTTCACATTAATATGTTGAAAGAATATCAGGAAAGGCAGGAAGATGTAGCTGCAGTATGCGCCCCAGCATCTGATGACCCAGGCCCTTGCCTGACCTTCTAAACGGAGACCCCCAAACCGATCATATCGATCAAGTACAGCTGGGGACCGACTGACCAGTTCAGAGATGAAACAGGCCCATCAACTCTTAGAAAATAAGCGACAGACCTTCTCTCAGGAACCGAGGTACACCACTTTAGCAGTACTCAAAGTGGAAACCCCAGGTCAGGCCCCACTCAGACAACTCCCTACTGTATACCTGAGGCAGTACAGGAGGGAAAATACAGTGTTTACATTAGATTGCCTGCAGGAAGCTATAGATCTCACCTGAACAACTACATTAAGCTGTAGTTGTTTTATTACTTGAAGCCCCCACCCACCAGCAATGGAGAATGGAGAAAGTTGGGGGGAGCAATAGATTCCCCCTTTTATTATTTAGGACCCCCTCCCACATCTAATGGGTGGGGGCTCAATTAGGGCCCCCACACACCAATAATGGGTGATTGCTGCGGAGACTCTAGTGGGGCAGGTATTTGGGTGGGATGTCTTTTTTTTACAGCAGTGAGCAGCCACTGGCTTCTCACTGTTTGGTAGATATTTCCCTACTCACAGCATAACAACTAGGGGCAAGATGGCGATTTTAATCTTCCTTTTACAAATATGGGGTCATATTAACCCCCATAGAGTGAGGAGGCATGGGGCATATTTAGGAAGTGACAGGGAGCACAGCTCCCTGACACTTCTATTTTCACATTTTACAAGGAGGGAGCCCCGAACTGTTAGCTCACTTCTTGTAGTAAACTGAACAAAGACTGAATTGCCATTTGGTCTTCCTTCTTTCTTTGTAATTTCTAAAAAAAAATTCCATGTTTCTGACAATTTCGAATGCCCCAGTGTAGAATTGGGCATGCGCATGAATTTCATAGCGTGTGCCAGTGTGGGCAGATGAAGCTCATGTGGTTCACGTCATCAAGGGAACGTCATCCAGGGGACAAGAAATAAACAGGTAAAGAAAAAAATGTGAAATGGGGGATGTAGAGGCATTTGGGGGTTGCTAGGGGGTCAATCAAACGTAGGCAAGTTGGTAGGAGGGTTAAAAAAAAGATGTGGCCATGGCAGTGCCACTTTAAGCTGTTTGGAAGGTATTTTGAGTATATGAAGTGTGACATATGTATGGATTGAAATATTGCAATAAATTAATAGATGCAATAATTCTTTCTGTAGTAAGCACAAAAGAGAAAATTAAATCAAAATTTTCAATTGATGTTTGTCTGGAACACAAGGGGGATGTCACTTATTGTTTCTATAAGCATGCCTTTCCTCTACCTATACCACCTCTGTGCTGGCTTAGAACTTGAGATGAATACAGAAGGTATATATCCAATCATGTGCATTTGCCTCATGTGGTTACTAGGGGCCAAGATCTAATTTTACCACATGACAGGAGGCTTTGTATTTGCATAATCATTCTTTACTAAACAACTCCAGCAGCACAGATCAATCAAAAGGTTTTAACCAATCAGAATCAAGAAACGTTCTACATATGTCTCTGTGGTGCCTGCCTCTTCCTCTTTCTTTGCTGCTCCAGCTAGAGTACAGGTCAGAGTATTGCTTCTCTTACTTTTACCTCATGATTTGGTTTTTATGTGCTATTTCATTCAGTTTATATTATTACTTTTTATTTTTTTCTGCACTGCTCACCCTCTATCCCATATCCGGCTATTTTCCCCTTCTATCTCTATCTACCCCTGCCTGTCTGGCAGGCGGGCAGTCTGGCCTCCCTACCCGCGGTTCAGTTTTCTGTGGGAGGGTAGTTGCCGGTCTCGCAATCGCAGCTCCATCTCTGCAGGATGGGGGCTGGCCGGGTAGTGGGGATTACAGGGTGGGTTTTTGTTTCCGCCACTCACATGGACTGCGGGAGTTGTTTCCGCCGGGTCCCCCTGCGCGGTGGCCATTTTATTCCTCTCTAGCCGCGATTCTCATCCTCAAAATAACTTTACCAGTGTGGAAAATACTTGTGTAGGGCATGCCACCTAGTCAGCATACCTCGATCGTACACAGGGGAAGCCCGACAAGACGACCTTACACGGTTGCTGACCCATATCCTCTCCTCCACAGATAAGAACCATTGCGAGGATGAGTGACACACCACCACCCACCCAGGACTTCCAGTCCATGATCAACGCCGCAGTGGCGGCATCGGTGGAAAAAGTATTGTCAAAAATGCTCACCCAACCTCCTCCAGAGGTACCTCTGCTTAACACAGGCATGTCCCCGACACAGGAGGAGGACGCAGAGGATTCGGAAAGGCCCACCAGGGAACCATCTCTCTTACCGAAACGCCACAGAGCAAGCACTACAGCCTTAGTCAGGCCTAAAGGGAAAGATGCGGTTAAACGCACCAAAAGATCAGTGAGACCTGAACCTCTACTCCACATACACTCCTCCGGGGAAGAGGATGACTACCGCATGCACTAGATATTCTCAACTAATGGCAAGTGGACGATTTCGCTTCAGAAGGGGACGAATGGCAGGACCTAACCCACGCAGGTGAAACCTCCCCACAAGAGCCCTTACACAACATGGAAACTGAGGGTCTGTTCATGGACACTCAGGGCTGTCCATTATTCGACCCGCGATCCATTAGGCACCCGAAATCATCGGAATGGGGCCTCCCGATTCACTTAGCACAATTCGTGCACTATTGGATTCGCAAACCTCTGGACAAAGAGGTCAGGGCACGACTACGGGCGGAATGCCCACGCCCTATCCTGCCCGACAAGGTGGCTTTGACCCCAGAATTCGACCAAACGCTGGTTGTTTTTATGTCCCGGACGGGACGAGACCCCAGGAAGGGGCAGAACGTGGTCTGAAATCCACGCAGAACAAACTACTCAATATCCTGGGCCCCTTAGGAAAGATCTTGTACTTCGCAGACATGGCCTTGTCCCAGGGCACACAGCTTGACCCCCACGCCATGCAGGAATGGGCGCAACGTAGTATCTGCCTCCTAGGCAACACGAATACGGCCCTCTGCACGGATAGATGCAGAGGGGCACTGGTCCGCATGGAAGCCAAACTTATGAACATGGCCAATAAGGAATTAGGGGCGGCTGCCAACGGCCTGTTGTTTGGTGACACCTTTATCTCTGAGCTAAAGAAGCATGTATCACTGTTCACTACGCTCAACAAGGCCCAGACATCCCTCCGGCAGGTGTTCCAGCAACCAGCCTCTCGTGGTGTTTTTGGAAGGGCTGGTCGGCAGAGGGGCCGTGCCACCAGCCGCTTTTGGTCTTTGGGACCTAGGCCCAGTGCACTTCATTCTACCCGAGTTTCAATTACCGACAATCCTCCACCTACCAAGGAACACCCAGGACTAGAGGCTCCCACGGACAGGGACGCACTACTTTACCTCAGGTGAGTCCCACTGTTCATTACCCTTACTCTACGCTAACCGCAGGGAGATTGTCTCTTTTCTTCCAGAACTGGAGGGACATCTTGACGGATGCCTGGATCCTGCAGACAGTGCAGGGATATGTCATAGAATTCATCTCTACTCCTCGCCGATCACAACCACCGCCCCCTTTGCGGGTTTTCGAAGCTCAGCAACTCCTCATTGACACAGAGATACGATCCATATTCTCCAAGGGCACGGTCCAGCTGACCCCTGGAGATGGAGGGTTTTTAAGCCATATTTTTCTAGTACAAAAGAAGACAGGCAAATTCAGACTGGTCATCAACCATTTGAACACGTTCGTGATTTACCGCCACTTCAAGATGGAGGGTATCCACCTACTCCATGACCTCCTACTGCAGGACGACTGGTTCACTCGTTTGGATCTCAAGGACGCTTACCTTTTAGTTCCCATCGCACCCTCCTGCCGACGATTTCTGCGTTTCCACTGGAGGAACACCGCATGCCAGTTCACCTGCCTACCGTACAGACTGAGCTCAGCGCCTTGGTGCTTCACGAAACTACTGAAGCCCGTCATGGCACATATGCGCGTTATAGGTATCCAGTGCCTAATTTACCTAGACGATATACTGATCTTCTGCGACTCGGCCTCACAGCTACTATCTCAGATGAGATTTGCCGTGGACTTTCTGGAATCCCTGGGTTTCGTCGTGAATCGAGAAAAGTCAGCCCTTACACCATCGCAGAAGGTCCAGTTCTTGGGATTCGAAATCGACTCCATGACATGCCTATTATGCCTACCGCTGTCGAAAATCGTTTCCATCCGGAAAGAGATCCGGAAAATACTACGGCTGGACCTCATCCCACTTTGACTCCTAGCCAGAGTCGTGGGTCTATTCTCAGCCTCCATCCAGGTGATATACCCAGGACCTCTCCACTACAGAGCCATGCAATGCCTCAAGGCACGTTTTCTGCGGGCAAGATACTCGTACGATCAGAGAATACCACTCAAAACAGAAGTACGCACAAAACTCAGGTGATGGCTCCTCCATATGCAAGCCCAGAATGGGAGAGCCATCTTTGGTCCATCACCAGACTTCGTGGTAGAATCAGATGTCAGCCTATGGGGCTGGGGGGCACACTGCGCAGATTTCTCCACAGGGGGGCCTTGGCTCCACGAGGAGTCAGAGACACAAATCAATTGTTTGGAAATGATTGCAGCTCCTTTGCCATCAGGAGCTTGGCCAAACACATGTCGAATTGTTGTATTCTATTGCGCATGGACAACGTGTCAGCGGTACAGTACATCAACCGCCTGGGGGGAGCACGATCTTGAGCACTATCAGAAGCGACCAAGGACATCTACACCTTTTGTCTGGCCAGGAACATCACTCTCAAGACGGAATACCTACCAGGGACATCGAACCTCACAGTGGACTGGTACTCCCACCACTGGAGGGACAACAGCGACTGGCAGCTGAATGTGGAAGTCTTCGAGGCTCTCCTATTACACAGAAGCCCACTACTGATTCGCTATTCGCTTCCAGGACGAATCATCAACTGCCCAGGTTTTACAGTTGGCTCCTGGACTCCGAATGCAAAGCTGTGGATGCTTTCCATCAGGAATGGCCACCTCAAGGGGCCTATTCTTTTTCCCTATTCTCCATGATAGCGAGGGTCCTCCACAAGGTTCAGACTCAGGGGATGACCGCCCTGCTAATAGCTGTAGATTATGCTAACGGATGTACCTATAATCTTAATTTTAGTAATGACAGGAGGCGAGTATTTCCCTCTGTGGCAAACCTAGCCACTTGGACTAAACAGGGACAATATGCCTTTAAGGATTGCCGGTATATTTTATGTATGTAACTGTTTGCATCTGCTGTATCCTGCCTGCTATATGATTTGTATTGGATCTGCCGAACGCAGATAGTCAGTTTCCATTTCGTTTCACGAACGGCACTTTTGCGAGCCGTTCGTGAACCGAATGAACTATCTGCCAATAGCCCACACACTAAGAGACGTGTGGCGCTTGTTAACCGATTGCAACAATGTTGCAATCGGTAATTAGAGGCTCTCCTAGGTGGCTGCCGTTCGACTACCTACCATGCGGCGGTCGGCCATCTTGGATCCTTTGTTCCCCAGCGGTGTTTGGTCGTCGAGCGCATGGAAGTGAAAACAGCTACTCGACGGTGCGAACACCGCTGGGCATCCAGAGCGTTCGGGAGTCCCGGGACGTTTGGTAATCTTGTTCATTTATATCAATCGGTATTTTTAATTTGTATTATGAATAAAATGTTTTTCGTACGGCGTTCGGTTGATTTAGCTGGGATCTGAGCGGTATTCACACGAACGGTGTGCTCAGACCCCAGCTATCTACCGAACGTCCATTCGTTTAAATCTGTCAGGTATGTGTAAAGTTATAGATTTTAATGTGAATTTTCGGTTCTGCTGCACGGAGGGATAATCCACTTAACGGTACATTCCAGTGGGAGGGTCCCTCTCCTGCAGCAGTGCCTGATGGGAGAAAAGCTCTGTACATTAAGTTTCCCATGTAGTCCACTCTGGGAATGCCCCTGGAATAGGACTCAGGAAACCCCTTGCATGGGGAATTGTATAAATTGTGGAGCTGTGAATAAAGACCTCAGTTGACTCCCAGCCTATGTGTCGTCTAGTTCTTGGGAAGGAAAGGTTACTACAGTGCTACTTGGATTATTGCATGCTGATTTCCCTGGATTATCCTTTGTTGTTCCTGTTACCCAGCGGAGATATTGTGGATTATACTGCCTCTCCGCTACACCATACCTTATTCCTTCTGCTTTACCCTCCCTAGTTGGGGTTTTTTCTCCTCTCTGCTTTAGTCATTTGTTTACGCACCTTCTCTATTCGCTATACCTCTGCTAGGATGTTCTTGTGTTCGCTGCAGCTCCTTCAAATGTTGTTTGTTAGATCTCATGTACATTACTCAACCTAGCCTTATATATACTCGTTTGTTAGATTATAATCCTTGTTGATCACACAATTTAGTATATTATGTTCATTATAATATGCATGACAAGAGGTCATTTCGTCACCTTTCACTTATTTCTGTTCTTTTCAGTATGAAAATTGGCTAACCATACTGCGCCATCATGGACTACTGGCCGTTCCATCTGTTGTTAAAGAGTTGGACGGATCCACTACGTTATGGACTTTGTTCTTGTTCGTTGTTCCACTAGTTTCGCATAAAAGAAAGAGGAAGAGGCAGGCACCACAGAGACATATGTAGAACATTTCTTGATTCTGATTGGTTAAAACTTTTTGATTGATCTATGCTGCTGGAGTTGTTTAGTAAAGAAAGATTATGCAAATACTCGCCTCCTGTCATTACTAAAAATAAGATTATAGGTACACTACGTTAGCATAATATACAATTTTGAATAAGTCACCATCTTTCCTTGCCAGAGAACCTTGAATAGAAAATGCTTTTCTTGCCATCTGAGTGAGTAATTAGGTTTTCTGTTAATTTCTCCTTTTTCTTTGTAACTGCAGTTGGTGTAAATAATGTGTATATCTTCTGTCTTTGTATGCACTCTAACTATTTTTTTTTTGTTCGTAATAAATATTCCTTTATTAAGTTCTGCCTTTGCCTGGTAAACACTCACATTACCTGATTAGACCAAATTATTAATGATTTGCAATTGAATAGATATTGTGCTAAATTAGAGATTAGTGCCAATAATAATATACTAGATTGCCTACTTACAACCTGATGAGGACAAGAGGATGATGATTGGCTCTGGCTGAAGTCTGGCTCCAGTGGTCTGGTGTAGAACAGGCTCTCTGGAGGCTGTTTGTAATTGTGCTCACAAAAATCAATGTCCTGGGGGAACATGAAGCAGCTCTATTTTTGGGGCCCCTTACACAGCTAAAGGTCTGGACCCCAGGGCCTGACAGCGAGTATGCCCACAAGGCCACCTACAAGGCCCACCCATGAGTTCGCTCACAGGGAGTGGAGTGTATGTGTGTAGGGAATGTGTTAAGTGTTATTGTAGAGGATCTAATGTGTGTGCTTATGGAATGTAGTTTATAGGGATACCAGTTTGTGTAGGGCAGGTGTTCCCAATGATTTTTTCCTGTGGAACCCTTTGACATAGTGTATCAAAAAAAAATTAATGCCATACAATAACCTTTCAATTAGCAGAGCATAATGTTTTCTTTTTTGGCAAATTTAGTTTTTTTGCCACCTTTGTGCTCCCAGGGGCAGGCGACCAGTTGTTTCCCGGGCGGGCAGCGAGGGAGCACTTTACCCTGATCTCTCTCTGCCCAGCTCCCTCGTGCAAACCACAGTGATGCTGGGAACCGGAATATGACGTCAGTCCGGCTCCGGCATCACTCTGCGGCACGCAAGGGAGCTGTGCAGAGAGATCACAGCTCCCTAACTGAAAACTTAGAGCGCCTGCCTGCTTGCACATCCAGCCGCCTTCCTGCCCAGCAGCCCGTCCAGCAGCCCCACTGGACCCCAGGTGAAAAATTCACCCAACTATCCCAAAAGTAGGGAGGCTGGGTGGATTTAAATTAAAAAAAATAATAATAATAATTGTGAGTGTTGGGGGAAATGTGTGCGTTTGTCAATGAATGTGACTGTGTGTGTGTCATTGAATGTGAGGAAGTGAGTGAGTGTGTTTGTCAGTGAATGTGAGTATGTGTGTGTGTGTCAGTGAATGTGAGTGAGTGTGTGTGTCAAGTGAGTGTGTGTGTGTCAGTGAATGTGAGTGACTGTGTCATTGAATGTTAGTGAGTGTGTGTGCCTGTCAGTGAGTGTGTGTGCCTGTCAGTGAGTGTTTCAGTGAATGTGTATGTGTCTGTCTGTCAGTGAGTGTCTGTAAGTATGTGTGTCCAATGAATGTGTGTGTCTGAGTGATTGTGCGTGTCTGTCAGGAAGTGTATGCCTGTGTCAGTGAGTGTATGTGTCTGTCAGCGAGTGTATGCATCTGTCAGTGTGTGTCTAAATGATTATATGTGTGTCAGATTGTGTCAAATCAGTGAGTGTATGTGTGTGTATGTCAGTGTGTCTGAGAGTGTGCGCTGGTCCGCGAGCGTCTGTCAGTCAAAATGTGTGTAAGTTAACATGAAGAGGTGTGGCCTTGGCAGGAAGGGTACATTTAAATTAGGGGGTGCCCAAGATCTATCATGCCCAGGGCAGCACCATTTCAAAATAGCATGGCCGAGCGGAGCGGAGCAGACCGCAGTAGAGGAGCTTCTGTTTCCTGTATCCGGCCGGACTGACAGGAAGTGCTCTCATAGTGAGCATTTCCTGTCAGTCCTTCCAGGTACATGAAACAGATGCTCCTGTACTGCGGTCCGCTCCACTCGGCCATGCTACACTGAGTGACTGGCATGAGGTAGCTTGCTTTACAGTGCTCAGGCGGCTGCAGCATAAGGGGCGGCGCATACTACTGTAATGTGACCCAGGCACAGCATGCCCCCTCCTAAGTTGAGCCCTAAGCGACTGCCTAAGCAGTCTTTTACCATTTTGAGAAAACCTTAAAGGTGAAACGCGTAAATGGTTGTAATAAGTGTATTTTAGTCAATAAAAGTTATTTTTGGTTACCCTTCACTATAGGACCAATTTTATACTTATTTTATTGCACTTCATACACTTTTATTTATTTTTTACTCCTGGCATATTTTTATAATATATTATTATTTTTAAAATTACTCCATTATTTTTATTTTACTTTATTTCTACATTACTATTGTATTATTTTATTATTTATTATTATTTTTTATTACCGGAGTGCATCCTGTCTAAAGAAATCCTGAGGTGGGGATAATTCCACCAGCGCTGTGGCAATAGAGCAGTATCTGTCTGCTCTATTTTTGTAAGTATAACTTATTTACACATATTACTGTGTTGTTCAAACCGAGAGCACTATCTGCTGTTTTATATATCTCGTGGACATCTACCATCCAATACCGGAAAGGCGGACCTATCTCCCCAGCATAACGAATATTGCACATCTGAGTAGGTCCTAGCCTACATCAAAGAAACCTCAAACCGGACGGACGGACCAACCGTTTAGTATATCCGATAGTGGGGATCAAACCACTAAGTGCCTCTTCTCCGAGAGCTGGTTAAAGCTCCAACAAATGTGAGTGAAATACCTTTCCTTTGAATATATATCACACCTTGGACATACAATATTTCACCATTGGAAGCTTTTTTCTCTTATTTTTGTCTTCACGTATATGGACTACCTACCATAAGGACGGAGTGACACTTGAGGACTTATATTATATTACTGCACATCAGTGAGATTGTTTTAACTTATATTTCTTTTATATTTGGATGAACTCATTTGTTTTTTACCTTTATTTATTTTTACTCTTTTATTCATTCTTTGTAAAGCGCAGCCCTCAACTCCTTTTTCTGTATCTTATTGCATATCACAAACATATATAGGACATCTTTACCAATAAATACTCACCATATCAGCTGTCTTCCATATCCCCAAATGCCCGGCGTGCACTCAGCGCCTTTGCGCATGTGTGTTCCCAGACCGAGCTTCCGTACCATATGATGACGGGGGTCGGGTCTAAACCCGGAAGATTCACAGTCTCTAGGCAACCGCATATTGCTTTGGTTACCGTACCGATCCCCGATCTAGACTGGAAAGCTCGAGTCATACTAACCATACATACAAGTTTAAGCCGAGCATAAGGGCGTATATGGAAAGCTGTCACATACAAGAACTAATAGCAAATAGTTATCAATCATTAGAATACCGATTTCATCCTAAAATATTCCCAGGTCCCACAGTGACAATATTAAAGAATGTGACAAACACAAGTGATATAAAACGAATTAGACAACAATATACAAAATAAATAGTGATAATAATAATATGTCAGAAACAATACATACAAGGTCTTAACTTATTCACTACTCAGGGCATGCTTCCAATCAGACACCCCACAGCTCGTGGTTAAAGGGCAAAATCTCAGAACAGGAGGCGTCACAGCACCTAGGCAACCACCAAATACATTCGGTCTTGGTTACTATACTTTTATTCATTATAGTTTTTTAGGGTTAACCACGTCTTGATCTCTTAATTATTCAGCACATACAGTAGATAATGCATGTGGATGTGTATTTACATCATGCAATAATATTTTTCCCTTTTATAGTTATTATTACCTTACACATTATGAGCTTGTAATATACCTTTAAATTTATATGATTACAACGACACTTTGGGTTTTGGATAACCCTTGATAATAATTTATCCTATAAACTTTTTTATTAACAGATTTATCATATTTGTTTACACGATGTACACGATGATCACGAATTGGTCAGTTTACAAAACATTTTCATACCCATGGGATTGAAGTGAAAATAGTTACTTATAATTAGTTACAACCATATGTGTATCCATCTTGGACCTATGCTTTGTATTTTACAAACAAGATTGGTAATTGTTACCATATAAATATAGTTGTATCATGCAGTTTTGACTTAAATGTTTTGTAACAGTAAAATCATCAGCACCCTAGACCTCGGAGTGGGTGGCCTGCCTTTCTCTATGAAAAGGGATGCTCTCTCAGTGATGACAGTTAATACAGCGGTAACCAAGACCGAATGTATTTGGTGGTTGCCTAGGTGCTGTGACGCCTCCTGTTTTGAGATTTGTCCCTTTAACCACGAGCTGTGGGGTGTCTGATTGGAAGCATGCCCTGAGTAGTGAATAAGTTAAGACCTTGTATGTATTGTTTCTGACATATTATTATTATCACTATTTATTTTGTATATTGTTGTCTAATTTGTTTTATATCACTTGTGTTTGTCACATTCTTTAATATTGTCACTGTGGGACCTGGGGATATTT